AACAGACCCATACCTACTGGTTCAAATGACTGCTAATATCATGGGCTTATCGGCCAACATTTCTGTCCAACAGCAGCTACTTATTCAGCATTGCTTCACACCAGTGGTTCAGCAGCCTTGGGTGCACATTAGAATCATCTAGGAAGCTTTCAAAAATCCTAACACCAGGCCAGGTGTGGTGGCTCATGCCTGTAATCCCAGCACTTTGGTAGGCCGAGTTGAGCAGGTCACTTGAAGCCAGGAGTTTGAGACCAGCCTGGGCAACATGGTGAAACCTCATCTCTACTAAAAACACAAAAATTAGCCAAGCATGGTGGCACACACCTGGTGTCCCAGCTACTCAGAGAATCACTTGAACCTAGAATGTGGAGGTTGCAGTAAGCCAAGATGGCACCACTGCACTCCAGCCTGGGTGACAGAGCAAGACTGTCTCAAAACAAAAACAAACAAAATCCTAACACCCAGGCTACACCTCAAACCAATTAAATAAGAATCTCTAGCAGTTGGGAATAGACATCAGTACTTAGGAAAGCTCCTCGGGAATTCCAAAGTATAGCTAAGCTTGGTATTGCTACCCTAATACCTAGGGGGGTAGAAACCTGCATTCTCCCTTGTGTTACCAAATCCAGTTGAGAAGGAGAACTGGAAGCACTGACCAATGGATCCCAGCAAGAATCGCCACTCCCCCCTCCCATTTCAGAAAAGACCAAACACTTGCCTCTCTGCTTGAAAAAAGTATGGAAATTTATATATACTTGAAAGTTGCCATTGGTACAAATATCTGTGAAACAGAAAGAATTAGCATTCTTCAAGAGTTAGTCCACTTAAGGATGACTACCTACTGGGAGGGTAGCCACATCAAAGACTATAGACTGGACATCTAAAACCAGAGAGAAAGAGGTGAAGATGACCCAGTCCACTAATAGCACACAAAGCACACCAGCATGACTTTACTCACTCTGCAGATTCACAATCTCACAAACCAACGGCTTTCAGTGACCACAGGAATCTTCTCCTGGTCGCTACTTCAGGCTTATTTCCCGGTTCACAGTCCCCATCCCCAAAAGTCCATTGTCATTCAATAATCACTACTGTTGCTTTTAAACTTCAAGAAAACCAACATTACTTAAATGTTACCCTGAGCTTTTGAACTAAGCTTGGCCTAATGCAGACACCTGAATGTGGCTATGTGCCTCAGCATTATTTCAGCAGGGGAGGGAGCATAGTCCAGGTTACCACCATGAAGCCAACAGTGCTCCAGGCAGAAGTGGCTGGGCCAGAGATGTCAATCATTTGGCTGTCTCAGCAGTGTTGGGCCCAGAATACCCTCTCTGACTGTGCTAGGTAGACGACTGCTTTGAAAAGGAGGACAGGTTTTCACTGAATATACTTTCAATGAAACACCATTTTCTTTTCAGTACAGGTTGGGTTTCCCTTATCTGAAATGCTTAGGACCCAAAGTGTTTTAGATTTCTGATTTTTTGGGATTTTGGAATATCTACATTATACTTACCAGTTGATCAACCCAAATCTAAAACTCCAAAATCTGCTTAAAGGAAATTGAGTATTTCCTTTAAGTATTGTGTTGGCACTCAAGGTTTTATCATGCATGGATTCTGGAGCAGTGTGGAGTTGGTAATTTCTGATTTGGAATGCTCAACCTGTACTTACTCGCCAAGGAAGTGCTATTGACACAACAGCTCATCAGAACAGTGACCTCCTTAGAAACACACTACAACACTTAAAACTGGCTTTCTTGTTAAATTCGTTCATTCATGCATACAAAAATAATTTACCAAGTACTTCCTATGTGCTAGGCAGTTTATAAGGTACTAGGGATACAAAGATGACAAAAGGAATGAAGCCATTACTGGGATTCAGAGGGCAGGCCCTGGAGTCACAGAATCAGCAAACCCTAACCCCACTGCTGCATCAACTTTTATGACTTAGGCAAGCCTTGTTCCTTTGATCCCTAGATGGGGACACAGTAACTATCGTCTGGGTTCTAGTGAGGAACTACATGAAATCATGTGAGTCAAGTACCTAATCAACAGTAAGAGAGTCCCTGATGGCAAAGACTTCCAATCTAGAAATAAACACATTAAACAAGAAATAGATTATTCTAGCCAGAGAGATACAAGGAAGGATTATTTGGGTGTATGATAATTTGCAAATAAAAGCACACCAAGTTCAATACTAATGGGTCACTGGATACACCCACCAAGGGTGAAACTCACCTCTGTACTCAGTTTTCGAAGACAACAACTCAAGAAGTAGTGAAATCCTATGTTGCCACACGAGCAGTGTGTGGAAATGGGGTCCTGCTATATGCCCCTCTTAACTTCTGAAAGAATTGCCAGTACTGCCAAATGCCGAGAGAGACAGACATTCTAGCCTCATCTAACGCTGCAGAAGTATGGTATCTTGACTGGATAAATGTCACGAGGGCACAAATGCTCCCCTACTCAGTGCTATGCAGGGAAGAGCATTCTGGGAGGGCAGTCAGTACTCCCTAGTTTCTTCGCCTAACTAGAAGCAGGTTGCAGCGTTTAGGGAAAGAGTCACATGACCAAGCCGCTCCATCTTCCCCAAAATTATATGTACTATGTATGAAAAATGGAAACAGCATAAAATCCTACCTTAACTGACAGAGCCACATACGAGTCAAGTGAGACTGTGTGCTGTGTGTGCGAACTGTGTGCAAAACCTACCACCACAAGCAGGACGGAAACTGCAGGGTTTCCTCTCCCAGGTAAGGTTCAGAGCTCAGGCAACTTCACCCAGTGTGACCACAATTTGTCTAAAAAGCTCTGAAATATCATTCACTTGCTCTTTGCAAACAAGAAAGGAATTATCAAAAGCTTATCAGTGTGCTAACTATAGTCCTCTGTTGCTAAAGTGGACAGCAGAGGAGACTGATAAATAAGGATGTGGTCAATTCTTTTAAGGAGAGGCAATTCTTTTAAGAGAGCCAATGCTTTCTCTTGATTTCCTAAGCACCACAGAATAATTCCAACTTGCAACATTTGCAAAGCAATTTCACATTCGACAGTGAATTTCCAAAAATCTTGTAACTTATTAGAGCGGAAGACAGGGTAGATTTAGAGGAAGGATTTTTTTTTTTTTAATGTAAATACTTTAAAATATTGGGCTTAGATGAAATCATTAAGCAGGAGGCAGTGGCTCATGTCTATAATCTTAGCACTTTGGGAGGCCAGGGCTGCAATGAGCCAAGATCATGCCACCACTGCACTACAGCCTGGGAGACAAAGTGAGATGCTGTCTCTCCCCACCCCCCAAAAAAAAAAAAAGCCAGGCGCAGTGGCTCACACCTATAATCCTAGCACTTTGGGAGGCAAAGGCAGGCGGATCACCTGAAGTCAGGAGCTAGAGACCACCCTGACCAACATGGCAAAACCCTGTGTCTACTAAAAATACAAAAATTAGCCAGGTGTGGTGGCAGGCACCTGTAATCCCAGCTACTTGGGAGGCTGAGGCAAGAAAATCACTTGAACCCAGGAGGCAGAGGTCTCAGTGAGCTGACATAGCGCCACTGCATTCCAGCCTGGGCAACAAGAGTGAAACTCCACTTCAAAACAAAGAGAGAAAAAAAAAAAAAAAAAAAACCACACAGGAAAGCACATTAGTCCTCAGTTAAAAAAATAAGAGGCAAATCATGAATGCTTAGCAAAATGAAATCTCAGAATCTACTTTTTAAATAAAAACCATCCCTGTCAGGCGTGGTGGCTCACGCCTGTAATCCCAGCACTCTGGGAGTCCGAGGCGGGTGGATCACGAGGTCAAGAGATCGAGGCCATCCTGGTCAACATGGTGAAACCCCGTCTTTACTAAAAATACAAAAAATTAGCTGGGCATGGTGGCGTGTGCCTGTAATCCCAGCTACTCAGGAGGCTGAGGCAGGAGAATTGCCTGAACCCAGGAGGCCGAGATCGCGCCATTGAACTCCAGCCTGGGTAACAAGAGCAAAACTCCGTCTCCAAAAAAAAACCATCCCTGACTGGACTAGAGAGGCCTCAAAAGAGTCCCATTTAATCATGTGGAAGTACTTCCTCCCTGTATTCAATTTTTGAAAGAGTTAAAAAGAGGCTGGGCACAGTGACTCATGCTATACCAGCACTCTGGGAGGCAGAAGTAGGTGGATCACTTGAGGTCAGGAGTTTGAGAGTTTGAGACTAACCTGGCCAACATGACGAAACCCAGTCTCTACTGAGAATACAAAAATTGGCCAGGCATGATGGTGTGCTCCTATAATCCCAGGTACTCAGGAAGCTGAGCCACGAGAATTGCCTGAATCAGGAAGAAGAGGTTGCAGTGAGCCAAGATTGCCCATTGCACTCCAGCCTGGACAACAAGAGCAAAACTCCATCTCAAGAAGAAAAAAAGTAGTCATCCAGTTGCTCTTACTGTATTGTGCCACAGTTTAAATATGTTTGTCCCCCACAAACCTCATGCTGAAATCTGATCCCCATCAGGAGGTCCTTGGGCAGATCCCTCATAAATGGCTTGCTGCTATTGTGGTAATGAGTGAGTTCTCCTCTATTAGCTCCCATAAGAGCTGGCTGTTAAGAAGAGCCTGGCACTGCCCTCCTCCCACCTGCCACACTGCTTCCTCTCACCATACACACTGGCTTCCCTTCCCCTTCCACCAAAAGTGGAAGCAGCCTGAGGCCCTCACCAGAAGCAGACGCTGGTGTCACACTTTTGTACGTCTGCAGAACCATAAGCCAAATAATCCTTTTTCTTTGTGAATTACCCAGCCTCAAGTACTCTTTTATAGCAACACAAACAGACTGAGACATATTGTTAACAAAAATGAACGAGGATTCATTTGGCAAAAGCTTTTTTAGCAGTAAAGTAAAACTCAGCCAAATCCCTCTTTTACAATGCACCTTTCCCATAGAAAATAATTATTGCAACCAAATTTACCTCTCTTGGGAGGAGACATTCTAATCAGACCCCCCTCTTTACTAAAAATATACCTGAGTCATTTACACTGCTGTTCCTCTTGGCATAAGCACTCCGAAGCACCTGCTCATAAACCTGAGCACCGATTGTTCTCACGTTGTCCCGGATCAGAATGCCTTGAGCTTGCATCATGAAGAGGTAGGTGTTCACTGCAGAAGCAAAAGGGAAGGAGAAAAAGAGGCAGATTCAGAAGCAATCATTTAAAAAAAACGTACCACATACCTTTGGATTATTTTTCTTTTTGGACCTTTAAATCCTCTTTCAGTTCTTTTAAAACCCTACACGGCCATAACTCTATTTTCCATACCCTTCAGGACACAAACATCCTTTGAGTAGCCAGTAGGGTTTAGCCAGAAATTGAATTTGAATTTCTGTCAATATTCAGCAGTTCTAGAAAAACCATAAACTTAAAAAAATATACTCCTTCTGGTCTCCAAATACCCAGTCTGTATTCTAGCATTCTGTTCATCAGAAAGACCTTCATGAATTAGTTAAAACCTTTTTTAAAAGGCTTCTGCTCTCTTTAAGTTCACCTTCTCAGAATGAGTTCATGGTTCTACACAGAGAAAAAAACCACCGACTCTCTGCCTGCTGGAAGCACTGAAGTCGCAGTCTTGTCTTGGCAACATTTCAAAGCGGTAGACTGAGGCTACAATCACTTACCCTGAAGGGATTTGGAAAGAAAAAGGAGTAACCTAAGAATATTTGCAGTGCTCACTATCCAAGCCTAGCCCAAAATTCCAAAGCAGTGAGGAGAAAGTATGGTCAAGGTCAATTAAAACATGCTCTTAACAAATTAGTGGGGCTGGGTGCAGTGGTTCACGCCTGTAATCCTAGCACTTTGGAAGGCTGAGGTGGGTGGATCACCTGAGGTCAGGAGTTCAAGACCAGCCTGACCATCATGGTGAAACTCCATCTTTTTTTAAAAAAATTAAAAAAACAAAAACAAAAACAAATTAGTGTTCAGATTAACCAGCCAATCTTGTCTTCTTTGGAACGTGATCTCCACTTTCATTTTCCTGAAGTCGTTCTATGATATAAAACTAGAAGGTCACAAACACATCAAGATATAATTCCTATATTCTACTTGCAAACTTCAGTGCTATGCCATCTATTTTCAAGAACCGGTGAGATTTTAAAACTAGTTTCTTGACCACACTCTAACTCCCTCAATTTCCCTTCATGATTGTGAAAGGGGGATGTGTTACAGGGGTGAACATTTACAAATCTAAACTCTGTGGGTGTATGGGGTGATGCATCTAACCACTTGGCTAACCTCGGGACCGGGCCCCAGTGCCCTCTCCACACTCAATATATCTGGCCTTGGGATGTGGATTCTGGCTCTTTGACAAGACACTTGGTTGACATTATATTTCATCACTATTAAAGCAATATCCGATACATATTGGGCAGGAAATAATGACTGAATGGAATAATGACAAAGCTTAGAAGTTATTGTATTTCAAGCTAGTGCGTTTGGTGCTTTATACTGGAAATGACAGAGGTGGGGGTGGGTTAGCATAATGTCAAAAACCCCACGTGGCCAACATTAAATAGTTCATGTAATGAGTGAGTCTTTCAAAGGATTTCAAATCATCTCTAAGGTGTATCCCAAGCCATAAAATAATAAGCAAAAGGGACCAATATTCAGAATACTTTGGTCAGAAATCAGTTTCAAATGCAGCCCTGCACTGACTGGGAGACAGCCCTATGCTTAACATCTGGCATAGTCAGAGAATAGATCACATACTGTGTTTATTCTCTAAGGAGCTAGGAAAGATTCTAAGGAAAAAAAACAGCTTCAAATTACTAAAAAAGTATATATAACTCTGCGAAGTCTCTGAAAGCAAGAGTAACACGTCATTTTCTGTTTCCAGAATATAGCACACTGCCAGTCACAGTAGGGGGACAATCTGTAAATACCTGTTAAACCTAAAACTTAAACTTCATCTAATACAAAATTTCTAATTCAGTCCTGTCGTCCTTTTTTTTTTCTTTTTAATCATTGAGCTGAACAGTATGTTCCCAGTGCCCTGAAATCTTCCTTTCATCCCCAACATATTACTAAACCAGTTGTCTTCAATAATATAAAAAGCAAGTATTTAATTTGCGATAGCTTTGACTTTTTTAAATTAAAAAAACAAACAAACAAGTATTTATTGAAAATTTCATGTAAAGCTTTTAGTTAGGTGCCACCAAGAATTCACTACCTCCTTTTTTCTGTACTGCAAAGTACCGCAAAGTAAAGTACTTTGCTTAGTCCCTCCTTTAAACACTCTCCCTTCCTTAGCTTTGAATCCCAACCGAAGGATTCCTCTATGGCAGTCATTCTCTAACACTACATACCCATCTCTCAGAGTGCTTTTAAGAAGTCTGCTTCCTAGGTCCCACTACAGTAGGGACTGATGCAGCTGGTCTGAGTGGGGCCCATGAATTTGTACTTGTAACAAGCTCGATGGTGACAAATGGTGCTGGACTAAGGACCACACTTGTATAATCACTGCTCTAGGGAACTCTGGCCACATAATAAATGTAAGCAACATTTATTGAGCACTTAATTACATAATTCCTTATCTCATTTAATCCTCATAATTATCCTAAGAGGCAAGTAACACTACGCAATTTACAAACAACTTCTAGGCTTCAGTTTCTCCAAGTATCTTCACCAAGGTTAAGTGAGAGCACTGCGATATGAACCAGGTGTGTCTGTGCTCCTAACCACTAAGCTTTTATACCTTGCTCATCCATGTTGTAGCCACAACCTCTCTCTGAAAGACTTCAAGCAGCCACATTTAAGAGTAAGCTTAAATGCTTACTCTTAAGGAAATAGCTCTCACATCTTTATCACCTGCACAAAGCTGCCAGATGGATCTTTCTTGATCTTTCTTAATTACAGATTTATCCACACTGTTCCTGCTCAAAAGCCTTCTCTGTCTCTTGCCTTCATTCCTGAGCTGCTGCTGCAGCAATGGGTCTGCTCTTTCTGCCGTGCAAATCCTGTTAATCCTTCATACTTCTTGGCGAAGCTTTCAGTGCCATGTCAGTCTTCCACTTTCTCCAATTTCTGTGCTAGTCTACTATAGGCTACCACAACTTTAAATGTGTTTACATGTTGACTTAGTTTGCTGTCTTGTGTCAGTCTTGTCATTCAACTAATAAATTCACATAACCACATATTGTTTTTTTCTAATTATACAAAAGAACTAGCACAATGCTGAACAAATAAAAACTGAGGGAGTAAAGACTGCCAAACAAAAGGAAATAATCACAAATTCACAACTTGGGATTGGATAGGAATTTAAGGAACACTTGTCAAAACCATCTAATGCTTCCCACTACTGGGGAACTACAACCTCCAAGACCACAGAGCAACAGGGAAAATACAGCCATCAGCAAAGAAAATCTACATTAGTTGGGTCTAAAACGTTACCCAGTCACTTTTTTTTTTCTGACAGAGTCTCACTCTGTTGCCCAGGCTGGAGAACAGTGGCACAATCTTGGGTCACTGCAACCTCTGCCTTCCAGGTTCAAATGATTCTTGTGTCTCAGCCTCCCAAGTAGCTGGGAATAGAAGTGCAAGCCACCACGCCTGGCTAATTTTTCTATTTTTCTTAGAGACTGGGTTTCACTATGTCGGCCAGGCTGGCCCAGTCACTTTTTCCCACTGGTTCTCTCTCAACCCTCCCCAGCCACCTATTCCCTGTCAGGCCCCTTCTATGTGTGCTCCTCCCATGGTATCTTCACAACTTCACCCCACATCCTGGCTGCTCTCTCTGAATACTGACCCAGTTGTCTACACTTGACAAAGGGTGGTGACCACACTAAGAGTGGTCCACGTGCAGTAGAATGAGCCTAGAAACACACAAACCACCAGCAGCTTTGTTCCATCTGTTACCAAAGATCTGTCAAAGCAAGCCCCTTTTTCTGGGGACTCACAATGCACAGTAACTCAAGGCCCAGAAATTCCCAGAAGAGAGCTGTTTAGTTACCTAGCCTGCCATTTCCCAAACCAGCACATCAAGTGAGTCTCTGCAGCACTTACTTTGGGACATTCAGTTTGGGATACTTCTATGAATAGAGTTTTTAAACTTCTATTACATGGTTAGGTAATCAATCTTTGCTGAATGTTGTTAGTAAACAGCAGTCATACCCTATTACCAATTCATATCAAGCTTGCTAGAGGCAAAATTCCCTTTATCTATTAGAGATGGTAAATTGCCCTTCTGTGCAGTGCTCATGCAGTTGGTTATACAGATCAAACTGTCAGAACTTTCAGGTGTTTGAAAAGTCTTGTTACTGGCTGGGGGAAGTGGCTCACACCTATAATCCCAGCACTTTGGGGGGCGGAGGCAGGAGGATCACTTGAGGCCAGGAGTTCAAGACCAGTCTGGGCAATATAGCAAAACCCCATCTCTACAAAAATAAATTTTGAAAATACTAGCCAAGTGTGGTAGCGGGCACCTGCAGTCCCAGCCACTCACCCAGGAGATAAAGGCTACAGTGAATAATTGTGCCATTGCACTCCAGCCTGGGCGACAGTGAGACGCTGTCAGGTTAACAACGAAAAAGCAATCTTGTTAGTAAATTTAGCCCATGGCTCTTGCCTACACTAGCAAGTACATATGCATACACATGTTGGTTTCAATCTAAATTATCTCATTTAAAATTCTTATCTCTGTGAAGTTGATATCATCTGGAGTGTTTATTTTAGATAAGGAAGTCAAGTGGTGGGGTGGGGGTAGTTTGCCCAAGGTCATATGGTTAGTGAAGTCAAAATCAGAGAGGTGAACTGAGGTGTTGCATACATTTTGATGAGATTTACTTTGTTTTCTTTTTTTCTCTTTTTGGAGACAGTCTTGCTCTGTCACCTAGGCTGGAGTGCAGCGGCTTGATCTTGGCTCACTACAACCTCCACTTCCCGGGATCAAGCGATTCTCCTGCCTCAGCCTTCTCAGTAGCTGGGATTACAGGCATCTGCCATCTTGCCCAGCTAATTTTTGTATTTTTGTAGAGACGGAATTGCACCAAGTTGGCCAGGCTGGTCTTGAACTCCTGACCTCAGGTCATCCACCTGCCTTGGCCTCCCAAAGTGCTGGGATTATGGGCGTGAGTCCCCGAACTCGGCCAATTTCGGAAATTCTAAAAGCAG